AAATTGCTAAAGTTTATGTACTTTTTTCTCAAAACCTACTTTTTCTCATTAACAAAATTTTTACAGTTGCTTATGGGTACTATCAATGATACTTTAACAAAGGATTTTGTCATTTTGTTAAAAATTAAATTATTTATGAATTTTTAAAAAGTTGTCCAAATTTTTTCCATAAAATTTAGTTTAAAAAGTCATATCTAAAAAGGTGTGCTAGATATACCTAATTCCTCCTTTAAAATATATAAACATGTTATAAGTATGCTCACTGAAAATTTGAGGATTATATGATAAGTAGTTTCTGAGAAAAAGGTACGTAAAGTGAAAAATATTACATTTTGAGAAAACAGGATTTAAAGTAAATATTTGTTGTTTTTTGAGCATTTACTTTTTTTAGTAATTTCCGGAAGCATATGAAGCATTATTTTTACACTCTGCTCATACAAAAGACTCTTCTAATTTTCTTTTTTTCATTGTTTTTAACAATTTTGCCTTTTTGGGATCTCAAGATGCTTTCGTTAGGTTACACTAAGGGACTAAATTCTTGGCATTGTCCATGATAACTGACCACTTTTTTCGGCCAATCGTTCATATTATATCTTTTTATAAGTTAATCACGCGTTTCCAGCCAATTATTTCTTGCTTCACTATTCCCAAACTTTTGTTTTTTGCAGGAACTTTTCTGTTAAAAGTACATATTTGTCAACGATAGAAAAGGAAAAATAGTTAAAAAAATACTTAATTTAAAAGTATTCGTATAATGTAAGTATTTTTTAATTTTGAAAACTGTTTAAGAATTTTAACACGTAAACTCTTTTTAATCATATCAAGTTTAAAATGTTATCTAAACTTTAAAGAAAAACAACTGTATACTTTTTTTAACCCAATAGAAACACGTGATTTCCGTTATCATGTGACCATCATAAATTTAGTCCATTCTACGTGCATCTATTTTTTGAAGCATGACACACAGTTATGACTTAGTTCAATATCACATTTAATAATAAGTTCAATATCACATATCACATTATTTAATTTAAGATCATTACTTTTGCTACATGATTCATATTGAGCTGTGCAATAGCCATATGTACCCCTAATTTTAGTTTTTATTTCTGCAAATTGAATGAATGACCATATGGTGTTATTAACTGACTCATTTAAGTTCTGAGTCTTTCCACGTAAACATTTTCTTAATAACATAGGATTACCTAGATCTCTAAAAATTAGCTTCATTTAATTCATTATGGCATATGGAATTTGTGTATGTTCTTAGGATCATTTTTGTTTTCGTTACATTAAAAGCTTCTGTTTTTTTGAATTTTACCAGGCTTTTTATATCCGCAGGACACAGTCCATGTTGAGGGCTCTCGTTTGAAAACAGAATATGAAAATAAACACCCCAAACAGCAGTTTCCATGGTACGTTGATCATTTATATTATTTCTAAAAGCCATACAATAACATGTTTGAATTTTTGATATTAAAATGTTGGTTAGTCAGTTACGACCACTTAGGTTCATTCCGTCACAACTTTCTTTCTCGGTTTCGCTTTTAATATCCAAAAGACATGTACCCAAACACTTTTGGATAAAAGCAACATACTCTAATATTTCCACTTGAACATCATATGAATTCACGCTCATCATAAACTTATGCATGGTGAAACACAGGTGCTCCTAGCAGAGATCATTTAATGCGCGTCAAGGAGTAGCCATTTTTAAAAAATTTTAAAAAAATACTTCTAATATACTAAAATACATCTTTTTCTAAAATTCACTCATATCATATATCATTTTAAACAGGAAGGTTTGAACTTTTGGAAAATATATAAAAAAAGAGAAAATCAATAATTTTTTGGAAATTAATGTGCCGGACCGCCTTAAGTCCAATTTTCCTAAAATCTTTAAATCTTGTCACCTCGTCCTTTAAACTCAGCAGATGATCTCTTATTAGAAACATTTTTAGGTACTTTGTTTTTCTAATAGTGAAAAATCAAAGATGAATCACGGGAAAGAAATTTTGATTTAAAGCGGATTTTCTGACTGCTTTTGCGGGTCACATAAAATATTTTGCGGGCTACTAATGGTCCACCCATGCTATAAACTGTAAGTAACTGTTCGGTTATGTCATTTTGTAAGAATTTAATTTTTATGATAAATTTTTTAAAAGTGAGTAAAAGCCAAAATGTTTTCGTTGTAAAATTACTCTTTCAGAGTCCTTAGCTAATATTTCCCGTCAAATTCCCGATAGAATACAAAAACTATCAGATGAAAATCGTTTGGGAAATATGCCAAAAAAGAAACAAATTTTAAGAAAAATTTTTTCAAGAACAGGTATGTCAAATTCTCAAATGTCGTAAAATTCTTAATAATCTGATGCTTGTTCAATTCTTTCTTAAAATAATGATTTTACATAAATTAATATATTGTATCAATGGATTGATAAAAAAATGTTTATTCTTTATAATAGTTTTGCTTTCATTATGTACAAATTTTAAGAGAAATGTACCAATGTTACAGCATTTTGAAGGTTACGTTCTATGTATTGGGGAATATTTATGTTAGTATCTGGTAAAATACACACACACTGTGTTTAAAATTATCACCCTAGGTGACTTACAATTAACTTACAAGATCATGGAAGACCCGCCGTGTAGGGGATGCACATTAAATCTGTCAAGCTCAAACATCCTCCCCTTGGCGTGGTGTGATAGTTAGGAGAGGAGGTTGCCATTTCAGGTATCGTCCTCATCACTTGACCGTGGCTTAAAATTGCAAGGTCCGTCACAAAATGCCCTCGTGTAGCTGAACAGTGCGACGTTAATATTCACTCACTCACTACAAGATCATGGACCTGATCAAAAACAGACCTTTTGCGAAAATGCCACTTCTTAAACATTCCTTTTATTTAATCCAAATTTACGAATATAAGATAGTATTTTAAGAGTATAATCTTGAAGAGAAAAACATACTTTGGTAATGATAACAAATAATTTTTAAGCTAGATTTTTTTTTTCGTTGACGTTCATTATATAATATTTAAATCCGAGACTATTTATCAAAAGTTTTATTTTACTTTCAGAGAGAGAGAGAGATTTTCGTTATTTTCACATTATAATTTGAATTCCCCTAACTTACTATTAATATTGATTTTCCATTGCTTCAGCATCTGATATTCCTACTAATTCGAAAATGAATAATTTATAAGGCTCCGTTTGGATCTTTTTTTTTCCCTTTTTTTTTCTTTTATCAGAACAGAATACCAGATAGGTTTTCTCTCAGAATGCAGCATCTGTTGCAATGTCTATTTTCCTGAAAGGCTTTGTATGTTTGTTTCAGGGTTGCAATGTAAAGAATATAGAAATATATATATATATATATATATATATATATATATATATATATATATATTGAACTACGTGCAATTGTTACAGGGAAAATCTTCGTTCGAGAGTTTTATAAAAACCTATCTTCTCCATATTTAACCTGTTTCAAAAAGAAATTTTTAAAAGCATACGCTTTTGAAAATGTTTAAGTGCAAATAGGTTTTTTATTCAATTATACATGTGCTATGACAAAGGTTTGGAGTTTTTTTCTTTGGAAAAGTCTTATTGGATAAGCGGCTATCAATTAGGATAAGTAGTAATTTCACAGTTGTATCTCATTATCAACATTTAGGTAAACTTGAAACATGTTTTAAATTTGCCTAAGTATTTACTATTCAAATACATTTAGTTATTCAGCGTTAGTTATTCTATACACTATTGCAGTGGACATTTTATTAGGATTGCAGAAAATGAAATTCATGGACATTGTGTTCAGCATTTTTTCGATTTATTATTTATTAGTTTTGTTGTTTCACATGCCATCTGATCAACAGTAATATCAGGCCAAGGTCCTCGAAATTCATCGTGGCAAAGAGCTACATATACGCCTGCTACAAGGGGAATAAAGCCTAGGTATTTGGCCTTTTTTTAATAATAAAAAACCAAAACAGGCATTTTAGTACTTTTCAACATTTTTCCCGATCATATGACATTTATAGTAATAAGGGGTAAAAACATCACACAGGTGCCTTGCACAGTTTCAGTACTAAATTTAAAAAAAAAAATCTACTGACTAAATTACACGATATAGTAAAAGAAAGAGCAAATCTTAAATAAAGGGATTGATTCGACAGTGCTGGAAAAGATATTTGGGTTATGAAATGTTTTATAATGTTACACAGTAGTAATCTTAACTCGGCACTCACAAATCAGTAATAATCCCTATTGATTACTTGTACTGTAAAAAATACTTATTTTGAATTCAAAATAATCAAACCAAAATTAAGTTTTTTTTTTTAAATATTTTCTTGAAAATTAAATTCTTTATGGCAATATTAAATTTTGAAAATAATTTTTTTTATTTTCCTTCTTATGTGCCTCATACCATAGAATATCCATTTTTCATTGGTGGGTTCTAATTGATAATCATTGATTTTCTCCATAAAACCGCATGTCTCTATTACTCTATTATGTAGTTAGCTTAAGTTTTTATGACAAATGTAAGTCACAAGTTCACTTTTTGTCCCCTATTTCTAAAATGGAATTTAAGCTTCTGTGCATCATAGAAAAAGTTTAAAGCATACATAAGAAGCAATAATGTTGTCTAATTGCGATGAAAATAGATATGTTGTAATCACTCTTTCAATTTGCAAACCTCAATAAACAAGTAATAATTTTTTTAAATTCAATTCCTACTTAGGTCAACAAAGAAAAATATTATTTTAGTTACTTTTTATTAAATAATTACAATTAATAAAAATAAATGTATACATATATATGACAGAATCACAATATTCAGTGACAAAATAGAAAGCAATTTTCATTGCAAATATTCCATTTTACTCTCTATTTAGGGTATTGAACTATTATTTTTGTTTGTTACTATTTATTAATTAAATTTAATTATTTTAATAAAATAGTATGATAAAAAGAAATCACATTCTCAGAAATGAGGCCATCGGAAGTGAGATTCGAACCCATGACCTTTGGATTGGAAGTCCAACGCGCAATCCATTGCGTTACAGGAACACAACGAACGATTTTTCTTTTTATATATACTGTTGACTATTATTTTTATTTGTTACTATTTATTAATTTTTTAAAAATTAAATTAATGAATTAATATTTGAAAAAACTGTATTAACGTCAAGTTTTATCCGCTCCAAGTTTTAAAAAATGTATTTGAATTTGAATGGATGATTAGAAAGTATTTTATAACGATAGAAAATTTTAACGATATATATATATATGTATATAGGAGAGAGTGAACTAATAGTAGAGGAATTGAATAAATAATCACAGTATAATTCTTTCTATGTAGAATACGTATCTCTTACGTTCTTATTTCTCTATACATATGCTGAAAAATTTCATTAAAGATGAAACATTTTTATATGAGGTAGAGTATCGTTACACATTGCCTCAATGGAATAGTTCTAACAGTACAGAACGTTAAGTTTAAAACAGTATTATTGTTAAAAGGGGAACAAAAGTATATACCTTTGGAATTTCCCAGTGGAAAACAGAATACAATGGTTCTTGTTATTATTGAAAGTTCTTTGAAATAATGCATAAAGTAAATCAAGTTAAGCCGTTTTTTTTTCATTCTTTCGGACATAATTTTTGTTACACTCCCTGGTAAACTAACCCAAGCTTTGTCAAAGCAAGCAGTGAAAATATTTTTGTCGAGGAGGCATAAAAGAAAGGGTTTTTTAAAAAAATGACTTATTAATAATAAAGGATAAGTCAATTGCTCGTCACTGGGCGTAAAAACAAAATTGATTAAAAAATTTTAGAAAAAAACCCAATTTTACCAGATACCCGATTTGAACCATCTTCTTAGTCTAATTTTAAAAAATGAATTTATACAAAATGGTATGCAACTACGTTGCATAGCCAACCACTGTTCTATTTAATAGCTAAAAAATTTTATTTTTCCCTTTTTTCCCCCTAAAAAAAAACTACCGAGTTTAAATAGTCGCCATTTGATTGCAGTTGCTGCCTACCACAATCACGACACTTGAAAAAAGTTCGGGCCCGAAAGTTTGTGTGTTTACCATTGAGATCATAGAGGGGCCGCGGTAGCCGAGTGGTATAGGTATCGGACCGTGGTTTCCTTGTCACGAGTTCGAGCCCGTACCACAAGACCCCCGTGGGGGCAGCGTGCACGTTAAATCTGCGAAGCTGAAATGTCCCCCGTTGGTGTGGTGTGGTAGTTAGGAGAGGGGTGCCAGCTCAGGGGTCGTCCCCTTTACTTGACCGGGGTTCAAAATTACGTGGTCCATCGCCGCCTAGTGTAGCTGAACATCGCGTTAATATTCAATCAATCAATTTAGATCATGGAACGGGATTGGAAAAAAACAAGACCATAAAATTGGATCGAAAAATATTTCAGGTTTTTTAAAGTCTAAAATTTTAAAAAATTTTGGTGGGATTCGGATATTTGAAAGTTGCTGAATATTTGTACATGCGAAATAAAGTATTGTGCAGAAGATACTCATTTGATGGGGATTTTTTTTTAATTGTATGCTTTCTAAGTCTTATTTTTAAATGCATACCAACTGCATGAATTTTCATCTCAAATTTTGTTCTACAATTTTATTAAAAAAAATATCAATCATTTGCTCTATTGTTACATATCGATGAGAAATAAAAGTAGCATCTGAGAATAAACTAACTTTCTCTATCTGGCATAGATAAACAATGACAGGAACTTTGTTTCTTCATAAAATGTCAGAATCAGTTACATCCTTCTATCATAAAGTTGTGCTGTTGTAAAAATGTTCTACAAGGACGTTCCTCCGAAGCGTTATTAAATTTATTCTGAAGTCATTTTTTATTGGAGGTGGTTGCATTCCTCGCGATCGCAAACATTCTGAAAAATTAATCTCTGAAAGAATGTTACAAATACCAGTAGGAGAATAAATAATGAAAACTTATGATTCCTTTCAAAAGTGCAAGATACCTTTTCGTGGCCTTGGTCTTCAAGGATATTATTATTGCCACTTGTGGCAAATACGAGAGAGACAGTTAATTGTTATTGATGATGAAATATTTAAAAATATCTCTTTATGTACGTACTGTAGGAAGTGAACGTTTACAAAAAGTGGTAAAAAAATTCAATTTTCTTTTTCTTGTGCCAAAATTTCAAAACAAAAACATGCCGTGTTTTTTCATGCACAATATTTTTCAAAAATATGGGTATTTATAATTTTTTGTAGCATAAATATTTTTGCCATTTTTGTGATATATATATCTATCGATATTTTTCCTTAAAGTTTAAAAATCAAATTTTAGATTAATTTCCCTATTTTAAAATTGCAGATAATGTTTTCGTGAAATATCCACTTATATTTCGACACATTACATAAAAAAAAATGATATGCAAGTTTTTTAAATGTATCATTAAAAGAGATGTAAAGTAAAGGTAGTGAATATGGCGTCTTTCTATTTTGTAATTTTTAAGGCAACTACAGAAATTAATTATTGCAAGAGCAATTCCAGTAAAATTGCTTAGCCAACCGAGATTTGAAATATTAGTTGAGCCTTATAAGTGAAGGAAAATGGTTTTTCATTTTTACTTATTTGTAGTCTGAAGAAAAACACACCATAGCAAAGTATACGTCAGAATATTGCCCACTTGGGTGGATAGAAATTTTTTTTCAGAACTTGAAAGTCCAACTTATGCGAAAAAGAGGTTTTTGTTAAAATGACAAACAGAAAAATAAGATAAAATAAATATATTTTTAAGTTAAGTACTGCCACAAGGGAATTATTCTGAGGTGTTAAGGCTTTTTATAGCAACAAAACAAAGTAATTTTCATCGAAGAAAAACAGTTATTATAACATTTATTACGATCTACTAACATTTATTACGATTAACATCTACTAAATCATTAGTAAGAGAACATCAGGTATATTTTGCAGCTACTTTAATATTAGATATGGACATAGAACTTAATGTCGAAATTTCAATGTACTATAAAGCGAAAGTCGGAAATAAGCTTTTTTTCGGAGAGATTAAACAGTGCGGGGTCAGTGAGTGAATATTAACGTCGCACTGTTCAACTACACAATGGCTTCTAGCGACGGACCTCGTAATTTTAAACCATGGTCAAGTGAAGAGGATGGCACCTGAGCTGACATCCCCCTTTCCTAACTACCACACTTCACCAACGTTACGACGTTTGAGCTCTCGACAGATTAAACGTGCATCGCTTCCCTGGCACTGCGGGTCTTCAGTGGTATTGGACTCGAACTCATTATACGCCAGCCGCGATTCCGTTACCTTGACCACTAAGCTACCATGGCCTCAACGGTGCAGGGAGAGTCGGGATTGTAAAATGTTGCAATGTGCACAATACTACGCATTACTCATTTATCAATAATCCTCGTTTTTGTTTATTTATACTGTAGAAAAATAATTTTATTTGGAGTTAAAAATCATGTAACTAATATTTTCTATTTTTTAAAAATTTCATCCCCTTTGTGGCATTATTGAAATTATGTGTTTTTCATTACCTTTGTCCTAATTTCCATAAAACAAAAACATAGTTCACGTTTAGATAGGTTTCAATTATAAGTAATTATTTTCTCCGGAATTTCTAGCAGGGGTGGATACTGCATTTTCTGCAGTGAAAAAAAAACCTTTCGCATCCAATTCCATTTTCAATATCCTACTTAATGTTTTTGTTTCTTATTCCAGATGGCGTAGCTTCATTACACCATCCACATAAAACCGAAAATCGCCAAAAATCGAAAAATAAAGTAGGATTTCCTAAGCCCGCGTCAATAGTAAAACTCAGCAATTAAGCATATCATGGGGGTGAGGCGATTAGCCTTGCACCTATGACACTCTGGAAAAACTTTCCGGCCTTGTTGAAAAGTAATATGTTTGATGTAGCCACTAAAAGCGCTATAGCCCTAGCTCTGATCCCTAGGAATATTAAGTTGGTGATACCAAAGCGGCTTTTCCCCAAAATACCAAGGATAAAAAGCAGGGAAAATTCTCCAAACTGCATTTAATTCTATCATTTTAATAGAGGAGATTTCGGCCGAAGATAAACAAGTTTCACTTCGCAAGGTGTCAGCAGTGGCAGACTTCGCCAAACTATCGGCTATCTCGTTACCATTCAATTCAATATGGGAAAGGATCCATTGAAAGTATATAAAGTGTTTAGAAGAAAGTCGAACCACTGTATAGAAGCATGGCTGTCCGTTAAAATCCAAATGTCTCTTAATACTACTTTAACAAATTCTAAGAATATTCTAGAAAGCTAGATGGCAACGAGACTGATCTGTGGTGCTGCGCTTGCGTGAGTGTCTCACGAGAATATTCTGTAATTGTACTTTATTTAACCCTTTATCGACCGCATTATGATTTACTGCAGTTTTTTTAATGCAATATTTTGTTTTAATCACTACATTGAAAACTAAGGGATATACATAAACCAAATACACATCTTTCGGAAATTTAATTAGTTAGAGCTAATTAATTAATTAAAGATATTCAACTGTAAAATTAACTAAACACACTGTCCACTTAAAATAAATAGTCAAATCGTTTTTTAATGTCTTCATTAACATACCAAAAAAATAAGAGTCTTACCTTTTGACATTAACTGTTTTTTCTGAACAAAAATGACGATCTTCGCAATTCGCTGAAAACGCTATTTCTTCTATAAAACTATTCACAATCCTCGCTAAAATACTCACCATAGAACCCGTGCTGCCATATATCTTGAAAGAGTGGATTTAAAAGAATATTCCTGCTAAGTATCGTCAGAGTATTCGTAAAAATGGTTATTCTATGTAATTTTAAAGTGAGTGGTACTTATAAGTACTGTCCGTCGATAAAGGGTTAAAGAGAGAGGTTGGTAAGAGCTCCGCCAGCAGGCTGAGTGAGGAGATTTTGTATCTGCCGAGAGAAGACGTGATGGATACCAACCTGACCCATTTTTGCTTTCTCTACAAGTGTCAACGTGGGGAATGTTGTTTTTCATCTAAAATTTGTACAAAGTATA